GAGAAAATTCTTTTTTTTTGTTTCTCTCTCAATGTTGCTCACTCTGTGCATGTGTGTGTGTTAGTCTTGCGCTCACTGATTTTCCAACTTGTGTGCATTCGTGCTAACTGTCAAAGTGAATGGAGGGCCCAGCGCTGTTGCCGCTGACGGTTCCTTTTTTTTGCAGTGCCTCCACAGCCTCGTTTATGCGGGCTGCTAGGATGTAAAAAGGCTGTGCCGCCTCCATCGTGTCGTCGCCGCGCAGCGCGGGTGGGTAGCCGGTGTCTGTGTCGTGCATGATGCGCTGCACAAAGGGGATTTCCCCGAGGAAGGGCACCCCAAGCTCCTCCGCGGTGGCCCGCACCCCGCCTGCTCCAAACAAGTGGTGTTTCTTGCCGCACTGGTCGCATGTGAAGTAACTCATGTTTTCTACAATGCCTAAAATGGGCGTGTTGACGGCGGCGAACATATCAATGCCGCGTCGTACGTCTACCAGCGCCACGCGCTGCGGCGTGGAGAGGATAACCGCGCCCGTCAGCACAACCTCCTGCGTGAGGGTCAAGTGCACGTCGTTGGTCCCCGGCGGCATGTCGATGACGAGGTAGTCCAACTCGTCCCAGTCGGTTTGGAAGAGCAGCGCGCGAATGTACTTGTTGACCATCGGACCCCGCACCGCGATGGCCTCGTCGTATGGCACAACGAGCCCCATGCTCATGACCTTCACGCCGAAGTTCGTGGGGGGCGCGAAGCGGTCACTGCCGGCCACGCGGTACGTCTCCACCTGCGAGGCATCAACGCCCATCATTGTGGGGATGGAGGGGCCGGTGATGTCGGCGTCCACGATGCCGACGCTGTGGCCCATGTTTTTTAGCGCCAGCGCCACGTTGACGGAGCAGGTGGATTTGCCCACGCCTCCCTTGGCGCTGCAGAGCGTTATCGCGTGCCTGACGCCAGGTATCGCCACACGGGAAAACTTCATTTCCGGCTTTCTCTGCGATGACCGGAGCGCAACGCCTTCCCCGCCTGTGCGCCGCAGCGCTCCCTTTTTTTTTTTTTCGTAGTCGTCGTTGGCGCACGCCACGCATTGAGAGAGAGAAACAAAAGAAAACGCGCGCGCGGAAGCAAAAGGGGCGGGGCTGTGGAGGCTTCACTTGTGTTGGTCGCAGAGGCGCGGCCGTTACCAAACCGCCACAGCGGCGCCCGCAGCTGCGCAGCGGGACACGTAAAAGCCGCAAGGCACAATAAACAAATAATTTTGTTTTTTTTTTAAAAAAAGGAAAAAGACGAAAAAGAAAAAAGCTCTTTTTTTTTTGTACTCCCGATGTCCCCGCCTCACTGCCCCACGCCAAATTCGATGTCTGGCCGAGCCCCACTTCTCCCGCCTGCCCCCAGGCGCAGCGGGGGCGCGCGGTGTCAACGGAGCTTGTTGAACCCAATGTGCGCCGCATTCTCACGGAAGCACTGGCGGCAGACGTTGAGCTCGTACTTGCGGATGAGTGCCTTCTGGTTGGAGCAGATCACGCAGTGGCGCGCGCCCTTGCCCATGCCGATCTTCTGGCGGGAGCGCCATTGTTCGAGGTGGCCCATTGCTGCAGGTTGCGCCTTCTGGTGGTCTGTGCGAGAGTGTGGGTCTTCCCCTGCGAGTCTGTCACGGGAGGCTTCCCACGACCCCGCGTGAGGGAAAGAGGCGCGAAAAAGAAACAAAATGCGGGGGAAAAAAAAAAGAGGAATAAAGTACTTTGTGTGGGTGTAACACACGCCAAGAGATGCAGGAAAAAAAAACTCACATGGGCGTAGCGTCCCTCGTCCCAGTTTTTTGCTGCTGTTGTAGCGTTTTTTTTTGTTTTTCTCCTTCTTCCTTTTTGGTCATGCCTCGTCCGCAGGTGTTTGTTCTGCTCCCGCCTCGTCGTCGTCCCCACTGAGACGAGACGCGGCAGCAAACCGGCTGTGGCGGCCGCCGCTTCCTCTGCTGCCTCCTCCTCCTCCCCGCCGTCGCCGCCGTCAGCGCAGCTTCCACTCGCGGCGGTCGTGCTGCACCTCGCGCCACTTGAGGAAGACGATGGGGACGGCGAGCAGCGTGAGCGAGGTGACGAGCACCACCACCAGCAGCCGCTCGTACGTGGCGGAGACGAGGTACAGCCGCAACCGCCAGCTCCCCTGCGCGAGGAGGGGGTTGAGCCACACAAACACGTTTGAGTTCGGCACCAGGGTCGCCGACCACGCGCGGCGCACGGGCTGGCGGTCGACCAGAATGCCCACGGCGTAGCCCTGAATGTAGGAGAAGGTGCGGTCGAGGCCGAAGAGCAGGCGCGCGGGCTGCAGCGCGTGCCCCTGCGTCCTGGACAGCTGCGCGGCGTAGGCCCAGCGCTGCCGCATCGTGACATCGCTCCAGCCAAAGCGGTGGACCGCGCCCGGCTGGTACACGCCCCAGTCGTGCACCGCGGCGACGCCGTTGAGGGCGCTGCTCGCGAGGAAATAATTCTCCCGCAGCCGCGGCATCCGATTCGCGTAGAACGCGACGGGAAGCGGGCTCGCGTCGTGGAAGGTCAGCACGACGCTCAGCACCCCGTCCCCTGCGATGATGGCGAAAAAGGGAATCGCCGCCGTGTACGCAGCGGCGTCGCCCCCTGCGGCCCCCGCACGCGCCTCGTCCAGCGGGGCACAGGCAAAGGGCGGGCCGCGAGCATCGCGCTGGGCCGTCAGCAGCAGCGGGCCGTAGGTGCTTGGCACCAGCAGGTCCACGTAGCCGTCGCGGTTGTAGTCCCCGCAACGCAGCAGCAGTGGCGAGGCGAGAGAACTCGTCATGGCGAGGGGACGGCCCAGTCGCGTGGGAACGCCGCACGCGTTCTGCTTGTGGAGGAAAAACTCCCTTGATGCGCCCTCGTGGAAACCAAAAGGGTGCCCGCTGCAACATCCGCCGCTGCCGCACGGCGGAGAGCCCCGTAGATCGTTGTAGAAAACCACCACACCGTCGAAGCGGGTGCAGGCGCCAAAAGCAGTGGATACATCCTCCTGCGAGGCACAAAGCGGGAAGAGGAGGTCGGGCGCCCCATCCCCGCTGACGTCCGCCACGGCGGGGAAGCCGTAGCGGCTCGCCGGCGTCAACGTCAAGAGCAACGCATGTTCGGCGCGCGCGGGGAAGTACGCATACACGTCGAGCGTGTCACTCTCGCGCGTGTGCACCGTGTAGAGTAAATCCACGACGCAGTCACCGTCGATGTCGTCCGAAATGACGCCCAGCGGGACGACCTCCCTCACCCCCTCCGCCCCCGCCACCAGCACAGACGGAGTGAAGGTGGGCGGGGCGTCCTGCCCGGCGCACTCGGCGTCGGCGGTCGTCGCGGTCGTGGCCCGCAGAACGACAAGCGATCCTGCCGCGTCCACCAGGGCAATCTCCGGCAGGCCGCAGTGGCTGAAGACCGTCACGAGACTCACCTGCGGAACGAGGGCGTTGAAGTGCGGCACGGTCCCACGCGCAATCTCCGTGGGAGTTTCGTTGCGGTGCCGGCCGTTGACAACGTAGAGCCCGCCATCCTCGCACTGCACAAGAATGTCGAGCGCCCCATCGCGGTTGAGGTCCGCCACGATGGTGCTCACAATGGGGCTCGGGAATTCCGCCGAGGTCCAGCACGGCGCGTAGAGGAGGCTGCCACTGCCGGCGCCGCGGTCGTCCGGCCCGCCCTGGCAGTACCACACAAGGCCGCTGCGGTTGGCCCAGGTGCCGATGAGCCCCGTCTTCATCCCGTTGTCCCAGTCCGCCGTCGCGGTGATGCGCAGCGGCAGCGGCGCGGTGCCCAAGTACGTCGCCGTGTCGTCGACCCACTGCGCGCCCACCGCCGGAAGCTGCGCCAGTAGCAGCGGCAGCAGCAGGAAAGCCGCAAGCAGGCGGCGCGTGGCAACGAAGCGTGACATCCCCCCACGGCACTTTATCGATGCGGCCGCCTCCCCACCCGCCCTTCCTTCTGCGTCGTCGTCGTCGTCGTCGTCTCTTTTCTTCGCCCCTCTTTCTTCTGGACTGTGCGGCAGCGGCGGGGAGATGGGGTCGGGCAGCACGAGGGGAAGCATGACAACAGCAACGGCAAGAGCAGAAAACCCAAGAAAAAAAAAGCATTCCCAATAGGCAAAGCAACCAACCCATTTCCAAACACACACACGCACACACCGGCGCGATGGATATCCTCAACGTCGTCGTCATCGTCGCCTGCCGAGTGTCAGTCCGAGGCAACACAATTGACGCTAACGATGCCCCGCCGCCAGTTCGCTGACCACATGCCTTGAAACAAAGGAAAAAACGTCCTCCAGTCCCATGCTTTGAATGGGCTCCTTGCACACCAGGGCCCGATGAGAGAGCTGTTCCGCGGTGCGTCGCACGTGTGGGCTGTCGCAGTGCGTGTGCAGGTTCGTGAAATCCACCACAATGGAGTCAAAGGCACCCGCGCCTTTTAGCATGGCCTCCGCAATACGCCGCTCCACAGGGTACTGGTCCTGGGGCCACTCCTCCGCCCGCAGCTCCGTGAGTGTGCGTCGCTTGGCACGCATCTCCTCCTCCGAGGCGGCACACATGGCGGCCTCCTGTTCCGCGCGTGCAGCGGAGCTCATCCCGGCACGCTGTGAGGGTTTCAGCATAAAGCCGGAGCTCATCAAGGGGACCACGAGGTCAGTCAGGCTCGAGAGCAGCAGACGCTTCTCAAAGGCCGCAAGGGAGGCCAAGTGCTCGGCAGAAATCAACCGCTCCGTGAGGACGCTGGACTGGAGAAACATGTCATGATACGCGGTGGAGTACAGGCGTCCCAGCAGGCGCCCAAGGTAGGAGCGCACAAAGGCATCCATGTGGCACGTGCCCGCGTGCGGTGTTGCGATGGAGCAAAACAACTTCCACACCACACGCAGGTTTCCCTCGCGCTGCCGCAGTTCCCGCGCCAACTGCGGCAACGCCTCACGAACGATCAGCCCGCCCATGGAGTGCGCCACAAAACTTAACTGCACTGTCGTCTCACCGTCCCCGCGCGACGTCGCAGGCGTCGCGCGGGCGGCCTCCGGGCAGAGGCCGTTGAGGACGCCAAGCACCACCTCCGCGAGCCGCGCCCCACACACCACAACGCCGTCATCCGTACGAAACCCCTCATTCACGTGCGGCTGCACGACGACCGGTGGCGGGTCAAGCGCGCGCAGCAGTCGTGCGAGGCAACCCAAGTCACTGCGCGTGCCGTGAGAGCCATGCTGGAGAACAACGACACGATGTTTCATTCAACAATGAGCGTGCGCAGGCCGTCGTCTCTCCTCCTCCTCCTCCCCCCGCTCACACAGGCAAGCTGCAAGGGAGCGGGTGAAATAAGGGGTGAGAGAGAGAGAGAGAAAGTAAGAGACAGCTACGCGCCTCCGAGCCCGTTACTTTTGAACGTTTTATTCTTTTCTTTTTCTTTTCTTTTGTTGCTTTTTGCCGTCCTTCCTTCTCTCCCCGTTGCAGCAAAAACCGTAAACGGCAGACGGAGAAAAAAAAATGTGCGGCCAGGCAGGCAAGTGCGTACGCGTGCAACTGCGCAAAGGTGCACTGCCCTGCGAGGGTGTACGGCGTAACACACGCACGCGCATAAAAACAAGCTGCGCCTGTACGTCTATGCAGCAGCAGCTACTGCTGCTATGAGGGAAAAGTGTCCCTGTTTCATTTATCGTTATTAGTGCCTCCGTTACTTGCTGCCCTGCCTCTCGCGGCTGCAGAAAACAAAACACCACACACACTCACACAGAGGGAGGAAGCGAGAGACAGATGGTTCAAAAAACAAAAACAAAAAAAAAGAATGTTGCTTAAACAAACGCTGCTCTTCAATGCCTCTCCTCTTCCTCTTCCTCTTTCGCTTCTGCGTGCAAACGCACACCCACACGCACAAGCAAGTTGGCCACGCCCCAGGGAGCGCGATGGGGGTCGCCTGCAGCGTTTCCCAAACTATGCGCAAATGATACGGTCGGCTTCGTCTGACTCCACGAGGCACTGCGGGCCCACCGTGCAGTTCACCACCTTCACCCCAGCGTTGACCATGGCGGAAGAACCGATCACGGAGTTGGTGATGATCGCACCTGCCCCGATTTCGGCATTGTCCAGGATGATACTATTGTCGATGTGCACGTCTGGCCCCAGTGTCACGTTGTTGCCAACGATACTACGGGCAATGGTGGCCTTGCACGTGGGCGCGGTGCGCAGAAAGCTGTGGATGACAGTAATCTTCTTGACGAAATCCTTCTTCTGCACGGTGAAGGCGGAATTCCGTACCAGGCTGCTGAGCGCCATGGCAGACAAAGGAAATGGCGCAGCACCCAGAGCGGCATCAACAGCTTTCTTACCCATAGGCTCGTGTGAGGGCTTATGAGTTGGTCGTAGTCGCAGTTGTTGGTACGGCGGCGGGGGTGGCTGTTTGAAGCCGCTGCCGGTGCCACTCCGCCGCAGCGTTTTATTCGCTTCGTGCAAGTGGCAATTGGCGGCCAGAATTTCATTGTTCACGGCAATGTAATCCTCGCGCGTCCTGACACGGTAGACACGCATGCACTGCTCCGGCCGCTCATCGTAGATGGTGCAGCAGACAATAAGGTTATCCGCCTCTGCAGGCAGCGCGGTTCCCGGTGAGGCATTAAGAAAATTCACGAAGCAGTCTCGCTCAAACAACCAGTGTTTGGGGATGTTATACCTGATCTTGCTCTCCGGACGAATAAACAAGGACTGGTTCTCATTCACGGTGCTATGCTGGCTCCGGGCAAAAAATGGGATGCTATCGCGCTGCACCGACTTCCCCTCCCCCGCGGAATCCGCGATGGCGTGCAGTGCCCAGTGCCGCACAAGGTAGGCGTGGGCGTCCATCGTGTCGGAGGCAAAGGTGAGGTTGGGTCGCCGCCCGGCAAAGCCCATGCTAATGTGCGGCTCCGGCCGCTCCTCATATGGGCACATGAGGTGTAGCCTATAGCTGCAGGGGCCACTGGCGTCCGCGGCAGCCTCCCCGCCCTCCACCGAATTTGCCGCCGGGGCGCCGCTTACGGCCTCGTCTATTTCCTCGTACGCGGTACAGGTGTAGCGAAACGTGTACGGCTTCGGGGAAAAAGTCGCGCCGTGCCCCTTGCCACCACCTTTCGCCTCCGCAGACGCCGAGGCGCGGGCGCTTTTCAGCGGGCGAAACAAAAGAACCGAGACGGAGGCCACGGAACAGTAGAAGTTGCGAATAAACGGCTCCGGGTCCAGTCCGGGGAGAAGTGTGTCGCAGCTGAGCAGCAGCGCGTCGCGCGCGTGCCCCAACTTACTCGGCAGCAAAGAGTCCTTGTGCTTCAGGTACGCATTCACGGCATCGCAGGTGGTTGACGGCGCCTCATTCTGCGTGAACGGCACCAGCACAAAGACAAACTCCACATCTGCGAACTCGCGACGGAGGTAGCGCTGCAGCGCCGCGGAGTCCTCGTTGACGGAGACGAAGAAGGTGCGACAGCCGGCGGCGTACCATGGGTAGAGGCAGTACCATATCATCGGCTGATTGCAGATGCGCAGCATCGGCTTCGGTTCATTGTTGCACAGTGGACTGAGACCATCGGCCGTCCCGCCCGCAAACACGACAATATCAAAGAGCTGCGACGCCGCCAGCGCAGGACTTGCCACGGCGGTTTTGAATTCCATAAATTAGTTTCTTATTCTTCTTGAGCTGCGTTTAGCAGGTGCCTCGCCGCCCCTCCACTTATTCTCTCCCCCGTCGTTGTCTCCTTCCCTCTGTCTGCCTGTCTGTCGGTCTCTCTCTTCTTCTCTCCTTTTTCCCCGGCCTTTTTTCTTTTCGTTGTTTCTGTTGTTGTTTTTTCTTCTTCTCCTTCTTATTTCTTCCTTTTCGAATGCCTCAACCACTGTCAGCTACCTCCGCCCTTCGTGTGCGTTTGCGTCGGGCCGTCGATGGCTCCGACCGCGCCTTGGCTCGCCTCACGGGGCACACAACACACCTCCCCGCGGGACACTCGCTGGGCGGTGGTGGGCGTCGTCGCAGGTGCAGTGAGTGCGGCGGCACGAGAGAGAAAGAGAGAACGAAGAAAAAAAAAAAGGGCGGGGGAATGTGCGGGCGCGGCAGCTCCAACTGCGCAGCGACGAGTGGTTCGTGTCCCGCCACGTGGCGCGGCATGCCCGCCTTATAAACAGATGCACGTATTTTGAGGGGAGCTCCCTTCGTTGGAGGAGGGGAGGCGGCAGGGAGCGGGGCGTCTTCCCGCCGTGGACGCTTGTCTGCTTTTTCCCCCAGCCCACAAACACACGCACACACACATACACTGAGAGGGCAAGCGAGCAAGAGCGAAAAAATTAAAAAAGAAAAAGGAAAAGGAAAAGCTCTGTAATTGAAACACGCGGCAGCGTCACTCGTTGCCGTCGCTGCCTCACTCCTTCGCAGTGTGGGCGTGTGTGTGTGTGTGCTGCACGCTCTCCAGCGTCCGCGGTGACACCAGTTCCCCGGCCCCTGCATGCATCTGCTTTGGCCTGCTTGCATTTATAAAATTCCCCCTCCGCCTATTCTCTCTCTCTCTCTCTCTCTCTCTTCCTCCCACTTCATCCCCCTTCTTCGCATCGGCAGCATCTATTGGCACCACCGGCCTCCACCCCACAGAGACACACAGTCGTCCCCAAACGTCTTTTCCTCTCGTTTTCTTTTGGTTTTGCCTTTTCCTACCGCGTTTCTGCCTCCACCCCTTCAACAGACACACACAGATGCATACACGTACATATGTGTGCGCTTCCTACCTTGTTTTGCCGCACCCCACCCGCCTCCCTCCCCCCTCCGGGCAAACCCCGCGCGCGGCGGGCGTGTGAGGGACGGCGCCGGTGCCTCCTCCCCACCGCCTCCTACTCCGCCTGCATGCGGAGGGCATGCCCTCTCTACTTTCGCTCAGGCTGGCGGTCGTAAAACTCGTTCCGCGTCTTGGCGTCAATCTTGTTTAGCAGCACCTTGGGGAAGGTGCGGAGAAGCTGCCAGCAGAGGTCGAGGCTCTGAAACACGTCGCGGGACTCGTAGAAGCCCTGGCAGATGAACTTCTTCTCAAACTTCTCCAGAAACTCAAGGTGCAAAAGATCCTCGCTGCTGAGGGCCTCCTCACCTACGACCGCCTTCATGGCCAAAATGTCGCGACTGATGGCATACGCGGCGTACATTTGGTTGCTGACGCCGCTGTGGTCCTTGCGCGTCATCCCCTCGCCAATGGCATTCTTCATCAGTCGGCTGAGGGAGGGCAAAATGTTGATGGGCGGGTACAACTGCCGGTTGTGCAGCTGGCGGTCCACGTAAATCTGTCCCTCCGTAATGTAGCCCGTCAGGTCCGGAATGGGGTGCGTAATGTCGTCGTTGGGCATTGTGAGAATAGGGATCTGCGTGATCGACCCCGCGCGCCCCAGCACACGCCCGGCACGCTCGTAGATGCACGCTAAATCCGTGTACATGTACCCCGGGAAGCCTCGTCGCCCAGGCACCTCCTCGCGCGCCGCCGACACCTCACGCAGGGCATCGGCGTAGGAACTCATGTCGGTCAGAATCACCAGCACGTGTTTGCCGCAGTCGTAGGCGAGGTACTCCGCGGTGGTGAGGGCGAGCCGCGGCGTCACGATGCGTTCAATGGTAGGATCATTTGCCAGGTTCATGAACAGCACTGTCTTTTCCATGGACCCATTTTCCTCAAATTCGGTACGGAAGAAGCGAGCCGTTTCCTGATTCACGCCCATGGCCGCAAAGACGATGCAGAAATCCTCCTGCTTCCCCTCCTTTCGCACCAAGCCAGCCTGACGCACAATCTGAGCCGCAATTTCATTGTGCGGCAGACCAGCACCAGAGAAGAGCGGGATCTTCTGGCCGCGTGAGATGGAGGTCATGACATCGATCGAAGAAATGCCGGTCTGAATCATCTCCTCCGGGTACACGCGGGCCCGCGGGTTAATGGGAATGCCCTGAATATCACGGTACTGCTCAGGCAAGACCGGGGGGCCGTTGTCGATGGGAATACCGGAGCCGTTGAAGACGCGGCCCAGCATGTCCTCACTGACGCCGAGCTCCATGACTTTCCCAGTGAACTCGCACCTGGAGCGCATGACGTCGATGCCGGAGGTTCCCTCAAAGACCTGAACAACGGCCTTGTCGCCGTCCACCTCCAACACCTGCCCGCGGCGCAGCGTCCCATCGGCTAACTCAATATTCACAATCTCCGCGAAGGTCGGCAAACGCACGTCACCCAATATGACCAGCGGGCCATTCACGGCGCGAATCGTTGTGTACTCCAGGTGGGGCTTGACGGAGTAGCCGTTTTGGATCGCCTTGATGTGCTCCGCCAGCAACTCCTGCTTGGAGAGCATACGCACCTCCTCTCCCGGATGCGCCGCCATTTTCCTTCTGTTTTTATATATATGTATACGTAGGTGGGTGTTTCCCCTCTCGCTTTGCGTTTTTGCTTGGGCTCCTTGCTTGCTACTGCTGTTGTTTGTTTGTTTGTTTGTTTGTTTTTTGTGGTTTACGCTGGCGCTACTTCTCCCCTTCACCAGTCACAGGCGCTCACGCAGTCAAATGGTTATCGTGGAAACAAAACAAATAAAAAACAACAACAACAACAACAACAATCAAATGTGCTGACGGATGTGAAATTTAGTTAATGCTTCCCTTAGCCTCTTGCTTTTTAAGTCCCTTTTCCTGCTACTCCCGTTCAGTCCCGAGTACGGCGATGGGTGTGTATGTATTGTGATACTTATGTCTCAGTCTGTGGAGCTCCGCTTCGGTCCACTTGCCCGTTCGTCTTCTACCCCTGTGAGCGTATATTTCTCTTTCCACTCCCCTCCGTTTGCAGGGGCCCGCCCACCGCCACCGCCGCCGACGCGACGGTGTTGTGTGTGAACGCCGAAGGGGGCGGGAGAAGCGAGGAGGGCGAAACATCAGAGAGACGGCAGGCGCAGGTGCAGAGAGGCGCACCCAAGAGGCAAAGCGAAACACGTCCCCCCACCCCACCCACCCCGCACACGCACGCACACCTTATGCATAGGCAGGAAAAGATGGTTATCATGCAGTAATAATACCAATGATAAAGAAACAAGCAACCAAGTATCGCCAACACACAGGACTCATGCATTCCCTCGCTTCATCCGCATCTGCTTTTTTTTTGTTAATTATGATTTGTTTGCTTCCTTCGTTTTGAGTCCTCCTTCGGAGTTTTATTTCCCCATTGCTGCTGCAGAGTTTCCTTTCCTACTCACATCGCCATATTGGGGGAGAGGCCTTATTTCCATATTACTCTCATCTCCGTCCTCTTACTTGGCTTCGTACGTTTTTTTTTTACTCCTTTTGTTGTTGTTGCCGTTTTTTTTTCTTTTCTTTTAGAGTCGTTCTTGTGGAGGATGTTGACGATGACGTTGCGCCTCACAAGCTCCGTGTTCTTTCCTACATATCAATAGGCAGATAGATAGATAGATAGATAGATAGATAGATAGATAAATATATATATATATCCCCCGCTCCCTCGCCCTCCCACCCCCACAATGGAGGCGCACACGGTCGGACGAATTGCTCTGCGTGGGGGGACAGACGCGCCGTGTGGAGATCCCGCGGGCGGCGGCTGGGCGGCTGGGCGACTAGGCGAGGTCGAGCACCATGCGCGTGGGGTCCTCAATGAGGTTCTTCACCTTCACGAGGAACCGCACCGCGTCGCTGCCGTCGATGACGCGGTGGTCGTACGTCAGCGCGACGGCCATGACGTCGCGGATCTTAATCTCGTTCCCCACCACCCACGGCTTCCGCTTCGTCGCGTGCATGCCGAGAATGGCGCTCTGCGGGGGGTTGATGATGGGCGTCCCCATCCACGAGCCAAACACGCCGCCGTTGCTGACGGTGAAGGTGCCGCCCGTCATCTCGGCCAGGGTGAGCTTGTTCACCTTCGCCCGCTCCCCAAGGTCGACGATCTGCTTCTCAATCTGGGCAAAGTCGGACTTCTGTACATCCCGCAGCACGGGAACCACGAGGCCCCGCGGCGTCGACACTGCGATGCTGATGTCGACAAAGTCGTGGTACTCAATAAATTCGGGGCCAAAGGAGGCATTTACAATCGGTATGTCCTGCAGGGCAATGGCGCAAGCCTTCACAAAGGGAGACATGAAACCCAACTTGACGTTGTGCTTCTTGTAAAACTCATCCTTATACCGGTTACGCATCTCAATGAGGGGCGTCATGTCAATCTCGTTGAAGGTCGTAAGCATCGCACATGTGTTCTGACTCGCCTTCAAACGGTCCGCTATACGCTGGCGCATAGAAGAAATGCGCACGTTGCGCACTCGTGGATCGGAGCCAGTTGTAGTGGCCACAACACGTGGCTCTCGCGGTTCTGCCGCCGCCGCCGGGGCCGCTACAGACCGCGGCTGCGGAGCTGCCTGCTGCTGCTGCTGCGTTTGTGGCGCTTGTGGCGCTTGCTGTTGCGGCTGCTTCTCAGCGGCCGGCGCCTTTGTCGCCGCCGCCTCCTCGGCCACCTTCACCTCCCCCGGCTTCACCGTCGACAGCTCTGCCCCGACCTCGACGACGGCCCCCTCCTCGAAGTTGATCTTCGTGATGACGCCGCTCGTCGGCGCCCGCACGTCCACGTTGAGCTTGTCCGACTCGATCTGGCAGATGACCTCGTCCTCGCTGACGGGGTCGCCAACCTTCTTTGTCCACCCTACAACCTTGCCGGAGCTGATCGACTCCGCAATTGTGGGGACTTTGATGCTGACGCAGAAACGCGCCGCCAGCGTTTGCACGTGCCACTGGCTGGCGTGAAGCACTTGGGGAGTGAAGCGACGAAGCATGTGGGGACGCTGGTTGGACGCAAGGTGGGCAAATAAGTCAGTTCTCTCAGCTGATGAGCGGTGGCACCGGCAGGCTACCCTGAAACTTGGAGAGAAGAGGGAAAAGGAGAAGGAGAAGGAGAAGGAGGCGATGCGCCCCGCACTCAGGCACCACAACCACACAAAAACAACAACGGCGACAAGCATAAAGGCAGCGGGGCCATCGAGCAAGAAATTGTTTGTATGTTTATTTGTTTCTTTTGTCTTCATTTTTTCCCCTTCTTTTCTCTCTCTCTCTCTTTCTCCTTTGCGTCCGCTCGTGCCCTCCGTGAGAGGGGGAGAAGGAGGCGGCCTCAGCGGCGCAGCGCGTTCAGCGCCCCGCGGCGGAGCTCCGGGTCCCACCGCAGCAGGGCCCACGCAAACAGGGGGGCCGCCGTCAGCGCGGTGGCCGGCCCCCACGGGGCCCACCGGGTGTAGGCGAAGAGAACCGCCCACGCCAGCGCGATCCGTCGGGGGACGACGGCTTTTAGGTCGCACAGCCGCAGGCGGGGCGGCCCCTCGCCGGGCCCCACCAGCAGCAGGCACAACCCCGAGGCGCAGCGCAGGGCCATAGCGGCGATGTTCACTGCAATTAGCCCCGTCGCCGGGTCATCAACGACCCAGCGCAGGCGCAGCACCACATAGCAGGCAATGGCGTACATCGCGGCCTGCGCCACCATCACACGCTGCGTTAGCCGCAGCGTCGATGCCGACGCCGTCGCCCGCACAAACGCGTCTAGCAGCCCATACCAGGCCAAAAGCGGCAGCAGGTAACAGTACAGCTGCAGCACCCGCACCATAACAGGGGAGGCCCAGCGGCGGGAAAAGAGCCCCAGGAGAAGTCCCTCGGCAAGCGGTGGCGCCAGCAGCACCACTGCCGCGCCAAAATAGGAGGCAACCCGCAGCATTGTGACAAGCAGGCTGATGGCCTCCTCTCCTTTGCCCTTCGCAGCGTCACGGCTCCACTTCACAAAGCAGGCATTTTCCCACACGCGAAAAATGAGGCGGGCGAAGATGGCGCCGAGGCTGGAGACAAGATCGTACTCCCCCATCACCGTCGCCGAGGCAACCGCTGCGAGAGCGAAGTGTTCCCCTTCTGAGAGTAAAAGCCGCAGACAACTCTCTCGCAAAAATTGGCGCAGCAGCAGCGTCTCCCTCGTCGCCTCCGCCCACGCGGCGCGCCATGAAAGGAAACACCACGGCAGAGACGCTCGCAACCACAGCGAGAAGGAGACGGGAGACGCGGCCGCAGGCCGTGCTGCACCCCACCGTGCCGCGATTGCGCCTCTCCGAGCCTTCTGCAGGAGATCCTCGTTTTTGGCCGCCTCATGCTCCTTGCGCCCGCGGCAGCTACGGCGATTCCAGAGCCAGAAAAAGTACACTGCGGTCGCAGTCGCGTACGTCAAGTACCCGTTCGCGAAGCAGAGGCGCGCGTTGTACAAATCCCCGCCCAGGCCCCCACGCGCCCGCAGGAAAAGCAAACACGCCACCAGGCGTGACAGCAACGCCCAGAATTCGGAGGTGACAATAATCCGTGCGTAGTCAAACGCCAGAACCAGCGCGACGCACGGCTCCACCGTGAGAGAAACGACGACGCTCAGGGCCAAGAGGAGCTCCGGCAGCCCCACCGCGGCGGCGACGTCCCCCACCCGCGGAAGTGCGACTAACGAGGGAAACACACGAATGCCGCACAGAGGCAGCAGCTCCAGCGTCACCATGACCGCAATTCCAAGGGGAAGAGAGGCACTGGCGCAGTTCATCACCTGCAGAACCAACTTTCCATCCTCTGCCCTCTCCCGCAGGTTTTTTCGGGCGTTCACACTCCGAACGCAGTCGCGTGCGAGAAAGAGAACGGTGTTAAAGTACAGCTGACAGGAGAAATTGATGCCACTTTCGTTGGGGGCGAGCTGACGGGTGAGCAGGGTGGTCAGCGTGAACGTCAGCAGCTTCAGTGTGACGTTAAGTGCCACGGCGGAAGCCAAGTGGCCCTTGAAGTCCATCCCGCCTCACCCACAAGGAGAGAGAAACGGCGTGGGGAGCTGCCCGGCACCGACACTACCGCCTTTCCCTGCACGCACGGCGTAGCAGAGTAGCGAACAAGTACAGGAGGGGGAGGAGGAAGAGGCAGAAGAAGCCCAGTAAGAAGAAAGTCAGGCGGCCAAACAAAGCAAACAACCAGATCTGCGTTTTCCGCAAGAAGAAGCGGAAAAGGGGGGAGGAAAGAAAAAAAAAACGTACCGGCAGAAGAGGGGCATGGGGAGTACAAAAACAACAACACACACACACACACTTTTATACGTGAATGATGATGAGTGTCCCCTTCTTCGTATTCTTATTCTTCTCTCTGATTCCTCCCCTTTTAAGGAACCCGTGTGCGCTTGTGGCAGGAAGAGAGAGAGACCTGACAGTTAGCCCCCGCACGCACAAGCACACACATATACTTAGAAACCCACCCACACACACCACTCAGCTCGCTGTGTTTTCCTCCTCGCCGCTTGGGGGGCTGCCGTCGTTTCTCTCTTCGTCCTCGGCGTCGAGCCCGGGGAGACGCTCGAGGCGCCGCCGCGCAAAAGTGAGATAGGCGCTGTGGCCCTTGGACACCAGCGCGGGGCGCAACTTGGGGCGGGACGGCCGTCCATCCTCCTCGCGGCCGCGCTTGAAGGAGGGCTTGAAGTACTTTGTCAGCGCCTCCACGGTGCGGATGTCAAGAAACTCAAACGGCTCCTCCCGCAGCCGCTGCGCCGTGCGCTGCGACTGCTCGATGCAGGGGGAGAAGGTGCAGAGCATGCCACCTGGTCGCAGCACCTGCAGCACGTTCTCGATCGCGAGCCACGGCGCCGGAACATCCAAAAAGACGGCGTCCACGTGGTGTCGAGGGAGGCCAAAGCCGCGCTTGGGATCGACGGCCGCGCCAATCTCCTCATCCTCCACGCCGGCAACAACACCGCTCTCGCACGAGGTGCTGCAGACGTCACGCCAGTTGCACGTCACGAGGGAGGCCGGCAGGCCGTTGCGGCGAAACTCCTGCCGTGCCTCCAGGCAACGGCCCTTGTGGAAGTCAAAGGTGTAGACGGTGCCGTGCGGGGCGACGGTTTTGGCGAAGGAGTGCGTCAGCGAGCCGCTCCCGGTGCCCGCCTCGGCAACGCGGCAGCCCGGGCCCAGCCGCAGGTTAAAGATAATAACGGCAATGTCCGTGTCGTAGATGATCTGCGTGCGGTGCGGTACCGCCTGCGTCCACAGGTCCGCGCTATTTTGCAGGACAAGCAGGCTGGGCGGCCTGGCGGTGTCGTCCTTGATGTTGCTCTGCCCCACGACCCGCGTGCCAAGCGGCCGGCCGATGATGTCGTCGTGGCGGAACTTCCCTTCCTTGCAGTGAAGCAGCGCCCCGCGCCGAAGCACGAGCGGCGTGAGGTTGAGGTGGCCGCGGAGGAGGAGGACGGTGTCGCCCTCCCCCGCAACAGCCCCCCGCGCCGCCAGCATTGCCGCCCACACACTCGAATAAGAAGAGAACACCGCGCGGAGAGAGGCAGAGGGGGGGAGAGTGTGGTAACGCACAACACTTAGTTCAGAGCTCCTCCCAGCCGCAGCCTCCCCGCTTGCGTGCAGACGGTGGCACAGCGTGCGGACATACATTCACACGCACACACACACACACGCTCACTGCTGCTGCCGCTGCTGTGGAGGATGGAAGAATTCGTACAAACACGCCGTGGTGAGAAGGGCATGCGCCCCTAACCCCCCCCCCTACACATACACACACACCCCGCACGCGCCCTTTTTTTTACATCGCGTCAACTCGCCAGACACAAGCACTCACGCAAAAAACAAAGCAAAAAAGCAGTAAGGCAAGCAAAGAAGCAAAAATGGAAAAGGCACAGAAGCAAGGGGGCAAGCAGGGGGCGGAGACATCAATGTTGGCAGCGAACATATTTGGCATTACACGTTTCCCCGCGGACGCGCCACGCCTTCCTGCTTCCTTCGAGCTGCCGTCATTGGTCCGCCACGAGGCGCTTAATAGAGCCACTGAGCTCAGCGTGACCTGACGGCGGTGTCGCAAACTCGCGGAGAATGCGGTCCCACCTTTGCAGTAGGTTGACGGTCCCGTGCTGCTTTACGGGAGTCCCGTGGACGTGCGTCTCGCGGGCGGCATCCCGCTCCCGCCTGTTGCGTTTCGCGGGGCTTCTGCCGGCCACCTCCTTTTCCCGCCTATGCTGGCGGTCCAGACGGGGACGGAGTTGCCCCTCGCGCTGCTGCGGGGAGGTTGCCGCTGCGGGAGTCCGCATGTGCGAGATGCGACCCGTGAGAGCCTCGAGACGTTCGGTCAAGGTGCCCACAAGAGTGAGGAGCTTCGAGTTCAGAGCCTCCGCCCCCTCCGTCGTGAGCCCCGACAGCTGATTCCCCGGCTGCGGGGACGCGGGCGCGAGGGAGCTGGCGTTGCGCACGTCCCGCTGCCACTCCTCACGGGCCGCGCGAAGCGCCCCAAGACGCACACTCAACTCCCGCTGCTGCTCGCCCAAAAACCGCAATGCTTCAGAGACAAAAAGCGAGGAGTGCTGCTGCCCCTTCTTGCCAAGTGGTGCGGCGGTCGTGGAGAAGACTTCAGGCGTCAACTTGACGCCCGCCTGCGGCAGCGGTGTCCCCTGCTGCCCCTGCACGCTGAGCTCCTCCCCCAGTCGCCGCACCTCGGCATGGATGGAGTCCAGCTCCGCCTGCAGCTTCCGCTCCTGCTCAGCGTACGCCTTCTCCACGCGGCCCAGGCGTTGCTGCAGCACCTCCATCGGAACCCCCAACGTGGGCGCGGGCGGCGGCGACGACGACTGCTGCCTCGCCTGCTCCACCGCCGCCAAGGCCTTCGCCTTCGCCTCCGCCGCGGACCGCATCTCGGTCTCCTTCCTTTTTGCCTGCGACTCCCCCTGCGCAGCGATCTCAACGCGCCGCTTCTGAGCGTACGCCAGCAGCTCCTCTTCGGTCTCGGCGAGAAGCACCCGACGCTCGTCCGCGTAGCGTTGCTTAAGTTTCCCCTCGGCAACCTCCCGCTGTGCCGTCAGCGCCTGCAGCGCCTTCTCCACCTCCCTCTCCTCCACCTCCCGCATCATCTCCTCCATCTCCGCCTTGGACTCCGCCTCCAGCCTTGCCCGCTGCTCGGCCACTCTCTGCTCGTAGGCCGCCTTTGCCCGTCTGTGCTCCGCCAGCGCCGCGTCGCGCCTTCGCTCAAAGTCTTCTCTTTCAAGCCGCCGAGACAACTCCTTTGCCCGCACGAACACCTTCATGTCATTCTTCACCGCCTCCGCAACCTGCACCTCCGCCGGGGCATCCGTGCGTGCCAGCTCTCCCTCGAGCGTCGTGCGGAGAAATGCTTCCGTCTCCTGCAGAGACTTTTCCTTCGCCGCCAATATCGCCTCGTTCGCCGCGCGGGGGTCCCCAGAAACCCCGCCCGCAGGAACTGCAGTGGTGGCAGCTTTGCCTGCCGCGAGTGCAGAGCCAGCCGCCACTGGCGATGCGGAGGATGCGGGGGTTGACCGCAGTCGGTCCACGGAGCTGAGCCTATTCTGCCGTTCTTCTTCAAGAGCCCGCATGCGGTTTCGCTCTTCCTCCTGCCAGCGACGGCGCACCTTGTCAAGGGCATCGTCCGCCGGTGAGCTGCTCGCGTTGCCAAGAGTGACGGGGACAGAGCCCGCAAGCGCGCAAATTTCTTTGCGCAAGCAGCTAAGGGTTTCCTCCATCGTCGCACGAAAAGTGTCCTGCTCCTCTTTTGATTTGCGCTCAAGGGCGGCAAGTGCCTCCTCCTCCTTCGCACGAATGCCGGCGCTCTTTCGTTCGCCTTCTCTACCCTTCTCCCGTCGCGCCGTCTGCCGCTCCCGTATCGCCACTAACTCCGCCTGGTGCTGCTTCTCAGCGGCCACCTTCAGTCGCTGCAGCTCCGCCTGCGACGTTTGCCGCAGTTCGGCCTTTTTCTTCGCTGCCTCCGCACGCGTGTCGACCTCCAGCTTTTTCAATGCCGCCAGACTCTCTGCCTCCAACTGCTTCTCCTCCCGCGCCCGCTGCGCCGCGGCGGCCGCCTCTAGCTTCGCCACCTCGCCGGAGAGGCGCTCGCGGTGCTGCTCCCCCAGCTCCACAAGCTGCTGCCGCAGCTCCCGCTCCTCCTGCAGCGCCTGCTCCAGGCCCGCCCTCCACCTCCGCTCCATCGCCTCGCGCTCGGCCCCGGAGGGGGCCGGGGCGGCGAGTCCCTCCATCGCCGCCCGCCTCGCCTCGCACTCCGCCTGAAGCCTCTCTACCTCCGCCGCATGGGCGCGGCGCATCTCCTCCAGCCGTGCCTCGTGCGCGGCCTCCGCCTTCTCCGCCTCCTCCTTGAATTCCGCCTCGCGCTCGAGGCGGAGCTTCTCCTCAAGGTTTTTTTCGGCCTCAGAGACGATGCGTCGTTCGGGGGGCCCCTGCGAGGTCGCCACGGCCGCCGTCGCCTGCTTAAACGCGTCGGCCGGCGCCGACGTCTCGCGCGGGGTGGTTGCGGAGCCGCCCGCAAGTGACCGCGAGGCGCCCAACGCGGGCACGAAGGCGTGCGCCAGCGGGACGGGCGCGCCACCCACCGTCTCCGTCGGGTGTTTCTTCAAAATTCCAACCGGGCCGGCGCCGCCGCCGCCGCCTAAGCCCGGAACTCCACCCGATGTGGCCTTCGCCGCGGCCGCAGGCTTCGGGGCCCCCGGCGGGGCGCTTGCGGCTGTCCGCTTTTGCTCCTTCGCCTTGAGAAACTTCTGGCGGAAGAACTCGTCCATCGGGTGATTCCACGTGCTCTCGCCCGTCCGGAAGTTGAAGTAGTAAATCTCGTCCTCGTTGGTGCGGCACGGCCGCCAGTCCGCCGGCAGCGGCGCCTTCAACCCCTCCCGCGCGATGTGCAAAAATTCCTTGTCCGCCGGGAGCTGCATGCCCATCCACTCGGCGAACTCCTCCACCTCCTCCTGCGTCGGCTCGTAGTCGGCGTCGACGGTGTCGGCCAGCACGACGGAGACGGTTCCGTCCTCGGCGACGAACTTCTCGCCAGCCGCAGGCACCACAACCTGCGTGGCGTCCAGGTGACCCTGCGAGTGAGACATTCCCCACCTGCGCTAGTTGCGGGCTGGCGGGCGGAAGAAAAAAATAAATAAATAAATATAATCAACCCGCTCATGGAGAGAGTGGGTGAGTGAAGAAGAAGAAGAAAAAAAGGGAGGAGGAGGAGAAAAAGAAGGGCAGCACCCAGTCACGCAGGCACACACACGCACACGAGGGCGGTCCCCCTGGAGCACAGCACCTCCTCCAGAAGTATAAATATATGTATTATATGCGCTTGGCGAGGACAGTAACAACGGACCTTTTCTCTTCGCCAAATAAGTTCAAGCGCCCGCAGCACGCACTATCACTCAGATATATATACTCTCAGAACTACGGGCTGTCATTGTTGTGTGACGTCGGGGTTGTAGTTGGGGTCAAGGAAGATCTTTTCGCCGTCCCCATCCTGCACCTCCACCTCGAGCAGGTTCCCGTCCTTCAGCATCTTTTGAATGACGAGGTTCACGTAACGCAGCTCCGCCTCCAGCTGTGACTTATTGAGAGAGCGCACCTGCTCCATGTACCACGTAACCAGCTCCGCACGGGAGGGCGGGTTGGCCTCCCCCAGCGACTGCAGCCTGGCAACGAGGCGGTTAACGATCCCAAAGTAGTGGTCTGCACTGATAACCGTCTTTCGCGGCGCAGGTGCGGCTGCTGCGGCTGCGACAGCGACAGCGGCGGCCCCCTTGCCTCCTTTGCGCCTCGCCGTCGTATGCAGCTCCCCCGCTGTTACCGACGGCAACTCTTGCTGCTCCTGCTGCCGAGGCCGTTTTCTCTGCCGTGTGTCCTGTTGTTCCTGCTGCTTCTGCTGCTGCTCCGGCGGCTCCTCCTTGACGCCCTTGGAGGCGACTTCGAAGGGGTCGGAAATGCCGACGAGCTCCACCTCGGTCATGTCAAGTGTCGAAAGGGACTGACGCATGAGCTCCAGCGCCACCTCCACGTGGACCGGCTGCACGTCCTCGCTCATGTACAGTTTCGCCACTGCCTCAGAGAGGCGAATGATGCTCTCCAAAAGACGCGTTGTGACGCGGTAGACTTTGCTGCGGTTGGAGAGGGAGTCCTGCAGCCGCATGTCGCGGTACGCTGAGACGATGAGTTGCACCGATTCCTCTTTCAAGCGTGGCGTGAGGGAGCGCGTGTAGCGAAGGTACAACTGGAAATCCTCCACCGAAAACGGTGGCCGCACGGCACGGTCACCGAAGCGGTGGAGCCGCAGCAGCTGATCGGCAATCGCGTAGTCCGCTTCGTCGTTGGACTCATCCACGATGACAAACATGAGGTCAAACCGGGACATAATGGGCGCCGTCATGGCCACGTTCTTCTGCAGAGGCTTTCGGCGGTCATACTTCCCCCCAATGGGATTCATCGCAGCGAGGAGGGACGTGCGGGCGCTCAGCGTCGCCTTAATCCCTGCCTTGGCGATGGAGATGGTCTGCTGCTCCATCGCCTCATGGATCGCCACCTGATCCTTCACGTCCATCTTGTCAAACTCGTCAATGCAGCAGACGCCGCGGTCGCTCAGCATGAGGGCACCCGCCTCAATCGTGCGGTCGCCGGTGTCCGCGTCGCGCGTCACGGTCGCCGTGAGACCACTCGCCGTCGAGGCCTTCCCGCTCGTGTACACCCCACGAGACACGTTCCCCGCCACCCACTTCAGAAACTGCGACTTTGCGGTGGAGGGGTCACCAACGATGCAGACGTTAATGTCCCCCCGCAGTCCGATCTGCTCCAGCGTGCTCTTCGAAACCCCGCCCACCATCTGCAGCAGCAGTCCCAGCTTCACCACGTCATGCTTGAAGATATTTGGGGCAACGCACTCGGTGAGCGCCTTGAGCAAGTTGTCGTGGCCGCGCATCAACCGCACCTTCTCCAGCTCCGCGGGCGTGAGACGGACCTGCTCCCGCTCCGCGGCGCCGTCGGCGGAGTCCTTCACCGCCTCCGTCATCTTGCGGTCGTCACCATTGGCGTCCGTGATGGTCGTTGCCAGGAAACACATGCGGTAGTTCAGCTCCCGCACACCCAGGGCCCGCAGCCCCGTGGCGCCCTCCACCTCCTGCTGCGCCTCCTGCTGCGCCCGTTGAACTCCCGACATTTCCCGCTGCACCTCGCGCCGGTGGGACTGACTAAGCAGCTTCGCCACCTCTGGGACGACGATGGGGCAGCCAACCGCAATGACACGGTCACCCGGCTTCGCCACCTCCACCCCATCGTTGCGCGCGATAAGTTCCATGGTGCGGGGCACACACCCCGCTGGAATGTTATTGGCATCCTCCTGCAGCCGTATCTTCTGCCAGTCGCCAAACCTCGTCTGCGGATGGGTCGGGACAAGTTGAAAGCGGTTCTTGTTCTCACACTGTGGGTCGCGGCAGGCCGGAGGCTCCGTGTAATGAAATGGCTGCAGAACAGGCTGACTTTCCGTTCCGCAGTCATTGCAGCGAAAAACGCCAACGAGCAACTCCGGCCGCACCTGTGAGGTTCGCGTGACAACGCCCGTAATTGAGCACAGCTGCCCCACCATGGAGGCACGCAGCGCACGAATACCGAGGCAGCGAGGCACACACGAGAACACCAAACTCGGACTGCACTTGCCGCGGTTAGCGTAATCCTCTGCGTAGTACTGGGAAAGCACTTGATGCAGCGCAAGGTCTATGAAAGGCGAAAAACGTTGATAGTCAAACTCGATCGCCGTGCTTGCGTCCTCGTCGAAGAGGCTGAAGTCCCCCCATCGCACAACGCACGTCGACCAGTCAACACACGTGCTGATGCGCTCGAGCTGCCGCACAACGTACTGCAGATCAGCGAGCGGCGCAGCGGCGGGGCGCAGGGAAGGGTCCACGAGGCGGCTGAGAAAGACGTACATCGTGTCACGCACCCTGGCACCGTCGGCGTCGACCTCGACCATCACCGGGGGCTCCTCCCGCGGCGCACCCGCGTCGCCCACCACCGAAGCAAGATTCATCCCTGTCCTCAGCAGCCGAAGCAGCACTCGAAGAAAAGCAAGACAGTAAAAAACAAACAGACAAAAAAAGAAGCCCAGTTGTATTGAATGCGGCAGCAACGGCAGTCTCATTCCTGTCACTCAGCGGAACCGTCCCAGACCCGTCCTCGCCGCCTGCAAAGTGCAGGGATTTCCCCTTCTCCGTCTGCGGCAACAGCCGCGCCTACACTCGGGCGAACCCGGGTTTCATCGGCTCCTCCCAGAGTATTTTTTCCCCACGTTTTTTCACGGAAATAACGCCAGCCCAATACGCAGATATATCTGCCTTGCGGCCACTGAGTAGCAAAACAAGGCAAGAATTCCTAATCTACGCGCTTAAAAAAAGGGGGGTGTGTAGTTCAATGTGTGTGTGTGTGTATCAAGATTTTATTGCTTTTTTGCGGGCCGAGTGCGTGGCTCCAGGGGATACAGTTATATATAAATACATATAAAATTATTTATTATTATTG